TCCCTACTCAGCATGTCGAGGAGGCTCCGCTGCCTCACCTCTGTGCCTTGAGCGAGTCGTTCGGCTTCAACTGCTGCAAGGTGCACCTTCGACAAGTCGTGATTGCGGCACGCCGACTTCTGAAAGTCCCTCGCGCCGGCGCCACAACGACCGAAAGGAGACTTGGTGTTAAGAGCGAATGTAGAGCATGCAGAACATCGCATACCGTACATCTGTTGCTTTTCGTGATACTTCAGGCTCAGCCACGGGTAGGTCGCCTTCCAGTTCTTGTTGTAGCGACGGGCAAGAGCTTTTTCGCGCTCAGGGATCTTCGTGTCCTCGGGAACCTCTGCTTCGGCTTCGATATCCTTGTCCAGTGCTTCTAAATCCTCGGCAGTAGGTGGCGGCGGGTGGCTACGAACGCGTTTCCTGGTGTCTGTAGGTGGATCCGCGAATCCAAGACACGCCTGACGAAAGCGGGTACGCGCCCTAGGCGTCGATTGGGACGACGATGAGCTCTGTTGATTGAGTAGCGTGTCCGAGACGGTGATGTTGACTTCGAGCATGTTACCATCGTCCGTTGTTTCTGGCTCATGCTGAAGGCTGAGAATCTCAGTGTCTCCACTATGCGAACTACTTGTTGAGGGGAAAGCAGCTCGGTCACTAGAAACAGGAGAGGGGGGTTCACCATCGCTAGGCTCCATGGCTGGGTAGGGCTGATGGGGGACCACGATCTGCAGCAACCTAAAATATAAACCATGGCGTGCGATGCGATGCGAGTGAGGTGAGGTGAGGAGAGGAGGTAAGGTGAGGTGAGGTGAGGCGAGGTTCGGCTGAGTGTTTGGTTTGGTTGATTCGGTAGGATGAGTGAAAGATGCAGCGCTAGACAGTTTCGTGTGCGAAGCTGTCCCTGGTGCTCGTGCGGTGTTGGAGTTCTCTCAGCTCTAACAAATTAGCCAGGTTCATTCACACACAAGTCATTGTTGCACTAGCTGTCAGCAGTGCTGCAGCTCGTATTGGATGCTGAAGGAGAGGTCGGCTGCCACTATGCTGACTTCGACACTACGCACACACTCGATTGGTTAGAAATCGATTGAATTGAATTGAAACATCCTCCACCTGGCGCGCTCACGTGCAACTTTCATGGAAAGGGGGTAAAAGGAAGGGGGGGTCCCGGGACGGGGTGCTCTCAGGATTGGGGGGGGGGGGGTCCTGAGGAACCGAAAGTAAACTTAGATTCAGGGGACGGCCCACATTGAGCACTTAACAAGTCCGGGGAAGGGCCAAACAATGCCCTTAACTGGCAAGGGTGTCGGTCGAACCAAGCCCTTGAAATGGCCGAGCTGCGTCGAACGTAACCTGGAATGTTCAGGGCGTTAAGGGCAAATGCCCTTGAATCGACAGCCCTGGACCACACCCGGATGTCCCCCGAAGCCCAGCCCGGGCTCGCGAATCCCCTCGCGAAATCCCTCGCGAGCCATTCACGTGGGCCCCGAGCGCACCGAAGCGGGTCCGGCCAATCGGAGCCGTTTCCGATGGGCTTGGGGGCCGGATGGACCTAGCGAAACACTTCGCACGCCTGGCCGACCGTGCGAAGCGTCGCCTGTGCGCGCCGGCCAATCGGTGACGGTCCATACCGGATCCCTGGTTCGGAAACCCATCGCCAAATACTCTTCGCGCGTGCGAGGGGTCGCCAGGGTTCGCCCATAAATCATCCGCAATTTAGGAGAGTGTTCACCCAACGTACTGATGTTACACTCTTTTTATTACTCGCAAATAACAAACGCGATAGACATTTCACATGACAGTTCCATTAAATTTAAAATTCCCATGGTTGAAAAACCCTCCCTCATTTTGTGTTTCTTTTATTTACATACATTCGAGAGGGCTGTGTTCTCCGTGCTCGTTTTTTTTAACGCGATTTACATTTCTGCACGCGTCTAGTGTATTCTTCGTTTGTGTAGAAAGTGGTAGTTTGGGATCGTAACCCTGCTTTTTGGCGGACGCGACGAAAAATACACCATGCCCGAGGTGGTAACCGTCGCCCCTTGCATGTAGTCTGCGGTCGGGGTGCTACATGGCGGGTGATGGTTCCACCCGCATGCATGAACGGGAACGCCCCCCACCTCAGGATGTCCGAAGGGGCCCGCGGGTTCATCCCCTCCACGCGCAATGGCACCCCCCTGCCTGTTGCTCGCGCTGCCCCCTTCCCGGATGCGTCCCGTCCCTATTAGGCCCGTGAAACCCTGTTTCACAGAAACATTGTACCTTTCTCACTTTGCTCTCCTTGTCAACCTGCTAAGTCCTCTCCGCCTACGTCTCGGTGCGAGTGATATTATGTGCTGTAGAGTTTGCGATCGCGTTCGCGTTTAGGCAGTGGGCGCTCCTAGGGTTTATCGCATCGACCGCGATGTAGGTAATTACACGCGTTCTGCCCCCGCCATGGCCGGTCGGGAATTGAAGGCGCTGTTGAACAGTGGCGAGCAGGGTGCTACTTACACTGCTACGATCTCGATCGCGGGTGTCAGAATATTATCTTATTGTTCTAGCCTGTAGTGGGGTGCTCTATAGCGAGTACAACCCTTCTAGGGTTTGCTATTTGTATCCTCATTCTTGCTAGTTCAATCCTCTTTCTTTCTTCTAAATTTTGACATGCTATCAGAGCAGGTCGATCCCCTTGGATCGATCCTGTGGGTGGGCTCACCACCTCGTTGCTTCCACTACAACTGCTACTGCTACTCTCTATGCCGCACGCCCCGTGGCGTGCGGCAGTTTTTTTTCTTCCCGCCACGTGCTCGGGGCGCATGGCGGTTTTCTGCCCACCGCGCGCTCAGTGCGTGCGGCGGTTTTCTGCCCACCGTGCGCCCCGAGGCGCGCGGCGGTTTCCTGCTTCGCGCGGCGGTATTCTGCACGCCATGCGCTCAGGACGCGTGGCGGTTTTCTGCCCACCGCGCACCCTGGGCGCACGCGGCGGTTTCGCGTTCCGTCGACCCGCACGCCCGTCCCCGTCGACCTGCGTGCGGCTCCTCGTCGCCCTTCGCGGCGTCCCCGTCAACCCGCGCGAGGCTCCCTGTCGCCCTTAGTGGCGGCCCCGTCGACCCGCGCGCCGCCTCCGGCGACCGGTGTGCCCATCCCCGTCGACCCGCGTGTCGCCCTGCGGCCCCCCCCCCCCCCCCTCCCCGCACACCTGCGTTTGCTTACCGCACACCCGAGTTCGCTTCCCGCACACCCGATTTTGCTTCCCGCACGCTTGTGCATGCTTCGCGCACACCTGAGCTCGCCTACCGCACACTCAGGGTATGGGGGTGACGGGTATGGGGGTGGCCGGTGTGCGCGGTCCCCTGCTCCTCCTCCTCCTCCGTCTCCCACTGCTGCAGCTGCCGCTGAGGGGGGTGGGTGTGTGGGAGACGAAGGAGTGGTGCTAGGGGGGTGTGTGGGAGTAGAGCTAGTGGTGTAGCAGTGGGTGTGTATGAGGGGGGTGGGACTGTGTGCGGGAGGATGAGTGGAGGTTGCCAGTTTGTCGTCAGCAACACCTGTATTCCGGGGGCTTCGCCCGGTAGCCCAGTCGTAGCCAGCTGTGCCAGCCGCCCGTGGGTCCGTTGCTCGTCTGCCGCTACTTTAGCCGCGGGGCCAGTTACTCCAGTAGTCCGGGGGCGTCGCCCGGTAGCCGCTGTGCCAGTGTGCCTCCTGTTGCCCGTGTGTCTGCAGCTTCAGCTGTCGCCTCCCAACTCCTCTCGCTCTCACTCCTCCTCCTCACTTGCCCGTTGTGACCACCACTAGTTTTGCTTATAATTGTGAACTATGAACTATTTCTTCTTGAACTTGTGCTCAGAATGTGTGGTGACATTGTGATCCACCCTGAGCTTGTTTTTGCTTTGCCTGCACTGCTGATTACACCCCACTTTGGCTATGGGGGTGTGTCAGAATATTATCTTATTGTTCTAGCCTGTAGTGGGGTGCTCTATAGCGAGTACAACCCTTCTAGGGTTTGCTATTTGTATCCTCATTCTTGCTAGTTCAATCCTCTTTCTTTCTTCTAAATTTTGACAGCGGGCGCCACTGTGGAGCTCCCCCCCCGAGCAGAGGAAGTGCTTCTCCGATGATAAGCATCCTTTCACCGCGACCTCCTTCGAATTTCTCGCATGGTAGGTCTACCTTGCGATGCCAGGCTTGTTAAGGGCGCCTTTTTGGAGTCGCATCTCGTCGGCTTAAGGCTTGTTTAGGTCATCCACAGATGCTTGCATCACAGTCGCGTAAATCGTATTCGCGTGACATTTTCGTCTGCATACAGATCCGTCCGATCCATCTATTGACCCCTTTGATTCCTCTCGCAAAACCATTGTTTCCACGTTTAGCGCCACACCCCGACCGCGATGATTCTGTGTCTATTTTTCCCGTTTCCCGTGCAGCGTGGTAGTTCGGAAGTGCGTGTCCCCGTCGCTCCAGGAGGCAATTAAGGTGGTGCCCTCCAATGTTGTCGCGGACATCGTCGCTGGTCGAGAGGCCGCGCACGTGGCGTTTGACGGTTTGGTTGGATGTAAGCTGGTCGCGTTCTGCCTCTGGTCCGAGTGAGTACAGCGGGACTTGTTGTAGGCTGGTTCTGTTGTACGAACGGGTTTGCCGGTAATTGCTGATGCGTTTCGTCATGTGACATGTAATCATGTCAGGGTTTTGAGTGACAAGAAGGCCTCCAACGCGGGCATGTTGCTGCTATTGCGACCGGACCACCTGGGGCTTGACACGACCTCACCCTGGAAAACCCGCTTTGTCCGCGTTTGTCACCCCACTGCCGCGGCTGAGCATCTTGCTGCGGTGGACCATATTGTCAAGTACGTATGTTGCAGAGGTGCTGTTTTTACGCTTGGTTGCTATTATACCTCCGTGTCTGAGATACGTATTTTGAACCGTGCAGGTGGTTTCGCGGTCGCGTTTGCCTCTACTACGGGAGCGATTCTGTCCAGTGCGTCCGGGCAAGGCAGCTGGGCGAGCCGACGCGCCTCGTGGACCTGGTGAGTTTGTTAATGTTCGCGGTTTATATGTCGCATTTCATTTGGCCGCGTTTAACACTACATTCCGTCCACCGTGTTTCCTTTCAGGATATTTCTTCCCGGAAGCCCCCTTGCGGTCCACTCGCATGTGGGTTCGCGTTCGACAGAGTTCTCAACGACCTCGACGCGGTTGTTGGACACGACCCTGCTCCTCGCATCGCCAAGCCAATTGCCAGGACGCTGAACACATTGCGGCAGGATGCGAAACGCGCCGCCGAAGAGCTCGCGTTCAGATCCCGGTGCGGCATCGCGGACGGACATGGGGGGGATGCTCACGGCAATGACCGTGAGAGGTCGCACCAACACCCCGCGGGATCCCGCGTGTCCGGACGCGATAACATCGCTCTCAACACAGCTCTTGCACTCGCGAACACAGGGGAAGGGGACCAGGGGAAACCGGACAACAAGGAAGAGGGCTCGAGCTCTGACCGCGACGAGGACGCCCCTGTTAACGCGCCGCAGGGTGGAGATGACAACAATGAAGAGGAGGCAGACGAGGCAGAGGGTCAGGGTCGCGGTCAAAACAAGGCAGACGAGGCAGAGGGTCAGGGTCGCGGTCAAGATGAAGAGGATGCCGCGGAGGATCACCAGCGCGGTGATCTGGAGCTGGAGGGTTTGGAAGAAATGGAGGAGGAAGAGGACGACGAAGATGATGAGGAAGAGGAGGAGGAGGTGGCGGAAATCGCGGCCAACAATTCCGGGCGGTCGGCGGTCGCGGTCGCGGGTGCAGGGAAGAGTATTCGCGGTCTTCAGGCTGTGCTGTCCCCCCGCCATGGCAGCGCGACCCCGTCGGGTGAGTTTGCGGGCAAGAGTCCGGTCTTGGGCAAGCGGAAACACTCGGAGATGGTGAAGATGGCTCCTGAGAAGCTGGCCGCGGAGATCCTCCGTTTTAACGAGGAGCTGAAAAATCAGACGCGCAAGCTGGATGAGGTGGCGTCCGCGGTGCCCGGTGCTGAATTTGCGGTGGTGATCACGCAGAAGTACGAAGAACTCGAGGCCACGGTGGAGAAGGTGCTAACCCACGTGCAGAACACGGACCGGGTGATACGCAGGGAAGCCCGCGAAGGACAGGGCGGAGAATCGCAACATGCGGGAGGTGCTGAAACGCGCTGCGGTCCGGTTGGAAGATTGCGCGGGGAGCATGAAGGGGGTGGTTGTGGACTCCGTGGAGAACGCCCACAAGAAGCTCACGGACGAGGTCGCACGGAAGATAGACGGCGCGTCATCCAACATCGCGAGTATTGCCGAGAAAGCGATCACAACTAGTGGCGTCACGAACTCCCTCAACATCATCATCGCGATGCTTTCCGGGCGTGCAGCACCGCAACAAGTCCCCGATGGACCGCGTGGGAAGGAGTTCGCGGAGAAGGAGGCAGGGAAGATGGCCGCGGAGAAGGAGGCCGGGAAGAAGGCCACGGACAAGGAGACAGTGAAGAGGGTCGCGGACAAGGAGACAGGGAAGAGGGTCGCGGACAAGGAGGCAGGTAAGTGTGAGAGCAGCAGGGGTGGGAAGCGGCAGAAAGGGGTCGCGATCCATAGCGTCACCGACCTTCTGAAGTCCAAGGGTGGCGCGGTCGTCGAACGTGCTGCGGGGACCAACAGGGGGGCTGCTGCTGCTGCTGCTGGACCACCGCCTGCGACCTCGGGGGTGGAAGCTGGTAAAGGCAAGGCCAAGGTCGAGGACGCCCCGCCAAACACCACCTCCACCACCACCGCCATCACCACCACGATTGTGCCCGCGTCAAGCAACACCGCCGCGCTCGCGCCAGGACAGCCTGGACCCAGCTCTATCGCCCCTGCCATCCCCCCCTCTGCAGATGTGAAGGCGAAGAATCAGGGCCGCAGTGGTTGTAAGCCTCCTGCAGCCGCGTTGAAGTGTGAACGCAACGACGACGACGACTCGGACGCGGACGATGAGGTTGAGCTTGTGATGCAGAGGTTCTTGGGGCCAAGCGACACCAACGGAACAAGCGGCAAGCGCAAGGGCTGTGGTATCCGCCCTCCGCCCAGGGGTGGGGAGGGGATGGTGGGCGAACCGTGGCTGGGGGGGAGACGTCGCTGGCTCGGACATCACTCTCTCCAAGAGGTGCAGTATCTAACCGCGATTGCGGTGATGTGTTACGACAAGAAGATAGACCCCGGGCTCAAGCTGACTGCGCAGCAGAAGAGTGAGTGGGCCGAGGAGATCTCCGCGGCCGGGACATTGTGCACCGGGCAATTCGCCACCATGCACCTCCGCAACCTTTGCGGCAATGTTGACAGGTACGGTCATCTGATCACTCAGTTGTTTTACGCGGTCACACTCGTGCCTAACCATGTTGCGTGTTACCCCATGCATGCAGGTACCACCACATGTTCAAGGCCTACCGCGACCTCACCCGCCGCGGGTCCCCGATCCGCAACGCGATAGCTTGGGCAGCCGCGGTGGGGAAGGAGGCTGCAGATGAGGAGCCCGATGTCACCGGCGCCCAAGCGGGCCTGTTCGCTGGTGCGCTCGCGTGCGCCATCGCGATGGTGTGGGAGACCAGCAACGGTCTCGAACTCGAGGCTATCGCTGATGCTGGATACTCCGCGGCGCAGCTTGCTGGCACGCCAGAAGAAACGGCCCGCGGTTACGCCACGATCGTGACCGCCGTTTTCAAGTGGGCCAGGAAGGAGAATGCTCGCAAGCAAGCCCCTGAGGTCACACCGAAGCAGATCGCGGAGAAGATTGAGACCGCGGTCGTGAACCGTCTTGGTGCGCGACTTGGAGACCCCACTTTAGTCGCTATGGTCGCGCACGAGGCAGTAGATGTGCTGATGACCTGGTGCGACTGCAAGATCGTGGCCAAGGCGATGGAGGCCAACGGGCTCTACCTCTCTTTGCCGGAGAAGCGGCTGTCCGCGAAGAAGAGGTCCGCGTAAAGGTGGTAGTATAGAGGATGTGAACTCTAGGTGACAAAGACTCTTGTATGTGTGGTCGCATGAAACTCCTGGTAGTGTAGGTAGCTTGCCCACCCTGCTTGAGATTTTCTCGCGGTGGTCATTCTGTCTGTGCTGTGTACTCCCTCCCCTTTTTCATAATTCAACTCTTTTGCTTCTCACGCGGCCAGGGATTTGCGTAAATCCACCATGGGCATTGACCTAACATCACCCCTAAATAGGCACGGCGCTGATGGGAAGTATGCACGAGAGCAATAGCCGCGGGCAGTATGTGAACGCGTATGCGGTCACCTTAAACGTGCATTTTTTGGTGAACAAACTGTACAGACCACACAATTCGACCGCGGTACAATTAACACCCGAATCTAGCAGTATGGTACTGGGTGTACCTGTTTGAAACACAATCTAAAGCTATTTCCCAACGCGAACATAGTAGGACCACCCAATTAAGCTAGTCAGGGCATCTGGGCACAGTACTGAGGCCACACGACCGGAAACTCTGACGCGGGTAGAGAGGCATCGATCATGCGGTCGCGTACCAGCATCCATTTCACCCGCAACTGCACCTCCGCCGGAGAACCTTTTTTCAGCTTGCTCAGGTTCAAGTCAACACTCTTCTTCTTCACCGCGATACCTTCCGACACACCCGACATGCCCACAGTTCGAGACACGAGGTCGAGCTTGTCGAGCACGACCGCGATGTTGTCTCCCCGCTCCACTCTGCGGGAGATGAAGTCCATGACTCGCTTTACACGGTTTATCGCGTTTTGGGCGGCGTTCTGGCCGCCTCCCTCCTTCCCAATGAGCTCGGCCATTCGCGTAACTGCACCGCGGGGCTGGGAGAGGAGCGACTCTGGACTCTCACCAATCAGCGGGTGCGTGGACTTGTACAGCTTCCATCCGTCCGACGGCTTGGTCGCGTTGACCCATGGTTTCATGATTGCGTCCCGAATTGTCTCGTCCCTGGTCGGCTGTGCGGGTTTCTTACGCGTTCCCTAGTCAGTGGGGGTTGCGGCATTGGTAGGTGCGGCCGCGGCTCTAGGAGTGTTTGCCGGACTCGGATCCGCGGTCGGCCCTGAGTTGCTCACGGTGAGACGCAACAGCTGGGCCTCCAGATCATTCACGCGTTTGTCTTTCGCGACCAGCTCCCGATCGCGTTCTTCCAACAGACCCTCCAGCTCTTTCACCCGTTTATGAGTCGCTACCAACTCTACCCCCAACCTGGTGTTTTCCGCTTGCGAACGAGTCAGGTACTCAGTGAGGACGGTCACCTGGTTCTGCGCGTCCATTCTGGTACAGACCTCCTGCATATACAGAACGCGAACGCGATATTGTGATGGGTACTCATAGACATTACAGCCGAATTAGTAACGCGACCATACGGTACGCACCACGGGATGGGTTAGTGTAGGTGTGTTACGCTGTACTATGGCCAGCTGATTTGCCAAGGAGACATCTGCTGCCCACCGCGCAAATTCCTCCGTCTGGAAGAGCGGGTGTCGCGGCTAGTGGATGTAATACATGGCCAGGTCTTGCGCGACCGCCATCCTAGCCTCCCCATCCAACTCCTTCAGTATGTTTAGACCCGCGGTGTCCTGCTTCTCCGCCTTGTCCTCGCTGACCATCTTCCGGTTGTAATCATGGCACTGTGCAACACAACAACGTGGTAGTTAGCGCGGTGCCAGAGGGTTATGTGGAATGATCGCGGTCATTTGATACTACTGTACGCAGCCCACACATACCTGTTTCTGTCCTTTGTCCGGTGCGGCCCAAGGGAAAATGTGCTTCCTCAATTGCTTCTCCAGCTTCTCACTCACCGGAACAGTTGCGCGACCCAGGAAGTAGTCACCATCAACCTCTGTGAAGCAAGCCTTCAGGAGCACGGCCTCCCTCGGAATAGTTGTGAGGTAGTGCTTAGTCATCACGTCGATGAAGCGCCAACCCCCCAGTCTCGCCAGCTGATCAGAGGGCATTTCGTCCGCGGACGCGTGCCGAGCCCCACCAGCTCTCGTCGCGTGAACCACACGCGAGCATGTGATTCCCGCGTCCCCCAGAATCTTCGCCGCCCAGTCGTGATGAGTCGTGGGCGGTATCTGCTTCTCTGTGCCCGCGCGAAGGGGGAAGAAGAGGTACTGGTCGTACCACGTCGAGGGTTCCGTGAAGTTGAGAGGGGGGGCTATGTCCACGTAGAGGATGGGGACCAAGTCGTACACCCAGTGCAGCCAGAGCAGCGTGGCTCCGACCACGCACATAGTCCAATCTATGTGTCTCACTGCCGAGATGTAGTTGAGCGAGAAGTCCTTGTTTGTCTTGCCCGTCCTGCACGCGCACACAAAAGCGAACGCGTTCCGCACTGGGTCCGTCTCGGATTTTGCGCCGAGCTTCCACATCATCATGTCTGGAAGCTGGAGGTTTCGGATCGTGCACCCGCGGGCTAGTGTGTGATGACCCAGGACGGTCATCGTCCGGATGCAGAGGTCGCGATGCAGTGCCTGCGTGTACTATTGCTTGGCTAGTGTGAAGCTGCTCAAGATGGCGGCCATGCTGGTCTTCCGCATCATCTTCTTGAACTCGTCTGGGTTGTACGTGTCCGCGGCCGTGCCCCGATGGCGATCCATGTGTTCCCTGCGCAACCAGTTGGACGATAGTGAGCCTGTTAGTGAACGCGGTTTCATTGGACATACGCGTTCACTGGGTTCGTATACTTACGCGATAAACCGCTTGTACTGGTCGCGTACTTGAACGCGGACCCAGATGCGACACTCTGCAAAGTCGCGCAGCAGGTTCAGAACGGGCTTCCTGAAGATGGCCCCGTCCAGCTTGATGAGGAGGTTCAAAGCCTTGAGACGCCCCATCAGCATTGCAGGGGAGCATTGGCATCTCTTCTTCAAGGTCTTGTCGGACCGCTTGAGTGTGGCCATCCTGTCCGCCTGCGCGACCGTCTCGTTCACGAGGAAGGTCACGTATTTGCGTAAGCGCCACGGATTCGTCTCAGGGCCGTGGAACCACTGCTCGTCGCCCTCAGCCATCTTCCAGTCACCACCCATATTCTGCTCGAGCGCGACCCCGATCTCGTCGGGGTTCGTGTTTCTCAACGAGGCCTCCTCACCGAACCTACTCACGTCCAGTCTCGGCAGCTCGTCCGCCATGAAGAGCTTGTACTCTCTGGCCCAACCGCGATACTTCTTCAGCGTGGCCTCAGAGAAACCGTAGAGGATGCCCATGCACATCTCTCTTTTTGCGGCCGGCGTGTCGTCCACACCAAGCCTGTTCCAATCCGCGATGGGGACCTCCAAGTCCGTTCGCGTACCCCGCACCCGTTCGTTGTCTTCCGCCTCCTCCTCGTTGAGTGCGGACAGCGAGTTCGAAAGGTAGTTTTCGTCATCGTCATTCCAACTGTCGTCCGGATCGTCAGCGTCGTCCTCGTCATCCTCATCGCTTTGCCCTTCGCTCCCCTCCCTCGATCCGTTGCGTGCCGTGTGCGGCACGACTTCGACTCGCCGCCTCCTTATACGCGGTCTATTGACTGGCACGTTCACGGTACCTCCGGTCGCGTTAACACCGTTACCTCTGCCGCCGTTGCCTGTCACCCCAGGCGCTCTCCGCCCATTCGCACTACCTCCGTTCCCTCCCACACCGGTCCCACGTCCCGCGCTCGCTCTCCCACCCCTTCCTCTTGCACATGTCCCTCTTCCCGCGTTCCCTCTCGCACCAGTCCCTCTTCCTCTTCCTGCGTTTCCCCTTGCATCAGTCCCTCTTCCTCTTCCCGCGTTTCCTCATGCACACGCTCCACGTCCTGCGTTCCCCGCGTTCGCCTCTGGTTGCCCACCTACACCGGTCGCGTCCGCTGCGGTCGGTTGCGCGGGGGTGCGGATGTGGACGTCCGGGTTTTCTGGCAACAGTGAGTTCACGTTTCATATTGGCGGCGAATGTGCACGCGCGCTTGCATTCATCCCCGCTCCACCATTCACCTCACGCACTAATCCGCCGGTATTCGCGTTCGATAATGGGTCGTCTGTTCGCGGCTGTGTGTCCACACCGACCACTAATGGTTCTCTAGGGTCTGGCGGGGCTTGCCCCGTTGGCTGGCTTTCCGGATAGATCGCGTTGGGGAATGGGGTTGACGGGGTGACTGGAGGAGTCGCGACAGACGCGGGTGCGTGCACCGTGGGCGGTGGTTGATCGCCGATGTACCCGTACCTGAATCCCACATTCGCGTACTGCGGCCCTACGAAGCCACGCACAGACATCCCATAGAGCTGGCTTGTGAGCACGGACGGGGACGCGGTGTGTTGTCCATCAACCTGTGGTCCGGGATAAGGCCTGGATACTCCATGCGCGGTCAGATCATCCTGCTGATTTTGAAACGCGACCGTCCCAGCCGCAAACGGAATATGTGGCTGCGGTGCTAGGTGGAGCCCGTTCACCAGTTGCTGTGGGTGGAACGCGGGCATCCGCGACTCAATAACCACAGGCTGCACGTATGGGATGCTCCATGTGGGGTTGAGCGCGTGCACGCCTTGCACGGGGGCGAGAGGCGGATCGGTATTATGGATTTGCTGCGCGGTTGTGTTGCCTGTAGCATTGATGGAGTCGTGAAGTATTCGCACCGCGACGTGATTCACGGTATGCATGCGGAGTGCGATAATGCCCCTACTCCTATTCACCGCGCGCGTCAACATGATGCGCGGTCACTACTTGTACACCCGGGTGTGACTGCGACCGCGGTGCTTGCGGACATTCGAGAGCGACACACACCTTAACCACGACCCTGGTGTCCCGTTTTCCATCTAAGTCCGGTGAATCCAGTGGGTCATGAGAGGGAAGAGCTTGGTTTGCAACTGGCGTGCAAAAAGCGAAAGTGTGGGCATGCACGGAGTAATGACCGGACTCCGCGTGGACGTGATTGACACGCTACCGCGATCGCGCCTCGACCAAACAGCGACAGCTGTGTGGCTCGTTCGAATTGCTGCACGTGTCAGCCAGCATGGAGCCTACCAGATCGTGCCAGCTGTTTCCGAACCGAATCAAGCGGTGCGCTTACCCACCCACTCCTTGTGCGAATTTCGTTCGCGATAAGATGCGAGACAACACAACCAATAGCAGCGCTCCATTTTTTCACGAACGCTTAGTTGCATGCGCGGGAAGTCCCGCTCGTTAATGTTCCCGACCAATCGCGTGCGTTTTCTACCGAGTCGCGCATGCATCGGCGCGTAAGAACGAGATGGGTTCCTTCAGTTTTTGGGGGGGCGCGGAGCTTTCGGTAGAAACCTGGTCGGTTTCACTGAGCCACACAGGGCCGCGCTAAGGCCAAACCTGGTGGGATTCTGGGTGGCCGACTTTGCCCCACGCTCCCCGCGATGTCTCCGCGCCCCGTGCATCCCAAGGCGTGGGCGGGGTTTTTCCCGAGCCGCGCCGTATGAACAGCCCATTGCATCCTGGCGATAATTTCGTCGTGTGCACTGGAATTGGCGAAAATCGTGGAAAATCAAATTTTGTTGATCGCGTGCAACACTTGCCTGTAGAAGTAGGCGATTGTGAAGCGCACAATGTGCTGTCGGATTTGACACTTCGGGACTTCTTTCCGCTTAATCCACATATTACTAGAGGCTAATTCTGAGCTGCAATAAGCAGTGTGCCTAATGATGAATATTAAACCTCGGTAAGATAGGGAGAGATCCTAGCTTGGCACGCACACGTTGAAGCTATTCAAGTCTGCCTTGAGATTAAGAAGTGGGCTGGGGTCTGCAATTAGAAAAATTAGGGTTGTACGGAAAAATGAAACTACTCGACTCACTTTGAGGATTTATGGAAGTTTTCTTGTGCATGTTTTTTTTTTTTTTTCGTAGCAATGCAAAGGATTGTTACATTTGAAAACAATTCGCAAAGAAACCCGAATATTCGTTATATCCAAAGCGGATTGCTTTTACATTGTTGTCGTCTTCCTAAGATTAACGCCCAACCTTGTCAGTAGATCTGCACTGTGGATGCCGGATCGATCCTGGAGAGGGTTACAGGCGCGTTCGCCTGGGGGGTTATGGGCGCACTAACCCGCTACTGAAACAAGCTCTTTAATCCCAATGGTCTAGTGGTTGGGATTCTGACATGGTATCAGAGCGGTCTCGAGTTCGATTCCCGGTGTATGCACATGTAGGCCGTTGCCGCTGTGCTTAGTCTTGGGCCTCCCAGTGTGGGGGGGTGTCAGTAGATCTGCACTGTGGATGCCCGATCGATCTTTGAGAGGGTTACAGGCGCGTTCGCCTAGGGGGTTATGGGCGCACTGACCCGCTACTGAAACAAGCCCTTTTATCCCAACGGTCTAGTGGTTGGGATTCTGACAAACCTGGCCCCATTTGGCTGTTTGCGTTCTATATTTTGATTGCTTAACCCTGCACATGATTTTCGCCTAACATCTAGGACAGAAAAAAAGCGATGATAATAAACATCTATGGGATGGCATGCCCTTTCGACAAGCATCAACCCTTTTTCACCATGCATCAACATTTTTAGGGTTGATGCCTTTGGAAAATAAATCTCATCAAAATGTGTTTTGTAATTATTTCACGAACAACAACCGGGACGCAGCAACCGGAGGAGACTCAGTAGTCAGTGTGTACAGGCTCGACCCGGGCTGACGGGTAAACGTGGCCAAGTGTCAGCCCGTCCGAGCACACGTGCAGTGGGTCACTCGCTGATTCGCAGGAGTGAACTCGTCAACCCCCCCATCCTGTAGATCAGCACCAATCACCAAGTTCGTAGAGAACGAGGGGAGGTAAAGACCTGACAGGGTGCCAGAAGGGGCCGCCTGACACGGTAAGACAGTGGAGAAACGGGCAAGGACAGGACCCCCAGAGGGGTCTGCCAGGGAGACTGCAACCGGTTGACGAAGCGGCGTGAGTGTGGTGCGGTCTCGAAAGAAGGAGCAGGAAGCACCCGAATCAAGGGTGAAGGTGTGGAAGGCCTGAGCCGACGTAGTACCTGAGAGTGCAAACTCACCAGCACCTGGGGGAGAAGACTCACCAGCACCTGGAGCAGCAGGCGCACTAGCACCTAGAGCAGCAGCTTCACCAGCACCTAGAGCAGTAGCCTCAATGCCCGGGTCATGCGGAACACACAGGTAACAGTCACCAAAATCACTAGTAGACACAACATACATGGCAGCAAGAATAGCATCATAATCAAGATCAAAGATAGCAACCCCCGACCTAAGCAGCTCGCCCCAGCGAGAAATCTCAGTGGCGTCAGGGAACTGGAGACGCCAGGCGTCCGTCAGGCGGCCGAAGCAGCGCTGGGTGGTGCGCGGGCTACCGCACGGCTCACTAGTGCGGTCGCCAGTACGCAGGACGTAGGCACAGGGACCAGCACCTCCACCACGGTGACGCGCAGCGTACCACTCACGAAGCTGCTGGGGGGGCGGGGTCTCACGAGTGCGCTGCTGCTACTGGCGCTGACCACCACCGAAGCCGCCCCGCTGCAAAGCGCCACCCCAACCAGCTCCACCGCCGCCGCCGCCACCGCCGCCTCCTCCGCTCCCACCGCCACCGCCGCCGCCGCCTCCGCCTCCACCGCCGCCACCGAAGCCCCCACCCCCGCCACCACTCCCACCGCCACCCCCACCCCCTCCGCCGCCTCCACCGCCACCTCCACCGCCCCCGCCAGCCCCTCCAGCGCCCTTGCCCCCCTTGCCCTTGCCATTGCGGCGTCTTCTGCTAGGGGCAGACGCAGCGCCGACCGACTCGGTGCCAACGAGGTCGACCGCAGCAGCAGAGGCAACAGAGGGCAAAAGGGGGGAGGGGGATCACCCCTCAAAGAAGGGGGTACGAGGGTCACCACGAGAGGCTCCTACAGCGACTATACTCTTCTGAGCTGCCAGGAGGCGCTCCCCGAGGAGGTCAACGGTGAGTGTGGTGGGGCAAACAGAGAGGAAGTGGTCCCTGACCGAGCGAAGGGAGTCAAGGAGCCGGGTGACTATGTAGTAGAGGGTGATGTACATGGGGTGGGGGTTCTTGGCGCAGAACTCAGCAGGAAGCGCAGCGCGGTAGCGGGTGTCACTAGTGCGAAGGTGCGTAATGAGGTCAGCGACTGTGGGAAAGGTGGCGAGGTCAGGGAACAGGCACGGCAGCATGAGGCGACTAAGGGCAGCAGTGGCAGGGGAAGAGTAGCGTGCAACTACAGCGTCGTACAAGGTCTTAGCACTCTTGTACTGACTAAAGTGCGCGCGCTCAGTGGACGGCAAGTGACTACGCACAGCAAGACGGGCAGCAGCATCGCGTGTGGCCCACTGTGAGCGAATAGTGTTGTCAGCATCGGCACCAGGGGCAGCAGAGGCGCCAGACGTGAGATCGAATAGTGAGAGACCGTCTTTCCTATCGCACTGCAGGAAAAGCTGCAGATCATCGACCCAGACCTCAAAGTCGACAGCCCGACCCTCGGCATCAAAGGTGAGAACACTAGGGGTAGCCATGACAACAACAGCAACAGGCTAGCAACAGCAGTGGCAGGCTAGGAGCAGCTCAGTAGCAGAGGTGCGGCTCGGCGGTGCTCTTACTAGGGCGGGTGGGTAGAGGTCCGCAGGTGGTGGGGCAGGGCCGAGGCGCGCCGGCAGGGATGGGGCCGCGATTGGGCGGCAGAGGAGAGCCGCGCCTCAGCTGTAGGGCAGGGCCGGGACGACGGCGGCAGCTGTCACGGCAGCGGCGGCGGCGGCTGTTGCTGTCGGCGGCGGCGGCGGCTGCAGCCCCGGCAGCGGCGGCGGCGGCTGCGGGCCCGGCAGCGACTGCGGCGGCTGTCACGCCGCGACGGCAACTGCTGCTAGGGCGGCGACGGCGGGGTGGCAAGGCCGTGAAGAGCCAGGGAGGGGCCGTGAAGGGGCCGCGACGAGCCGCGAAGGAGCTGCCGAGCGGCCGTGAAGGAGCCGCGAAGGGCCGCGATGGGCCGTGGAGGAGCCGCAAAGGGGCCGCTAAGGGCGGCGAAGGGGCCAAGAAGGGGCCGCGAAGTGCCGTGAAGGGGCCGTGAAGGGCAGCGACGGGGCCGAGAAGGGGCCGCGAGGGGAAGAAAAGGGTGGCGACGGGGCCAAGAAGGGGCTGCGAGGGGCCACGAAGGGGCCGCGAGAGGCCAAGAAGAGCGGCGAAGGGGTCGCGAGGGGCCGCGAGGGGCCTCGAAGGGCCGTGAGAGGGGCCGCGAAGGGCCGCGAAGGGGCCGCAAAGGGCCGTGAGAGGGGCCGCGACGGGGCCTTAAGAGGGCGCAACGGGCCGCTAAGGGCAGGGGACGCGACGGGAGGGCAGGCACACGGGTCGGGACTAGGGCAGGGGCGAAGCGCGCTCCAAGCTAGTTTTTTTTTTTTTTTTTTTTTTTTTTTTTTTTTTTTTTTTTTTTTTTTTTTCGGTTTCGTGGTGGGCCCTAGGAAACGTTCCCACTAGGGAACTTGCTCTATACCATGTGAAGAGAATGAGGAATGATGGACTAGGAAATGAGTTGGGTACAAATCTGTAACCCTAGAAAACTGTACCCCATACTGTCAGCCCCACTACAACCTAGAAAGACTAAAGCATAAATGTTTGACAGTAACAGTCAAGAAAGGCAAAGCAAGCTCAGGGTGGAAAACAACGCCAACCACACTCACTGAGCACAAGCAAAGGGCCACAAGGCCAGTTCACATGCAGAGGCATATATGTAACACAAACATCACAGTGATCTACACCTAGCAAAGCAAGCATGCAGGTATATATATATTTATATAGATTACTGTACAAGCAAAGCCTACAGCAAGTGAGGAAAAGTGGGCACAAGCCCTAGCAAAGTGCAAAAACGCTGATGATCACCAGACTGAAGTGCCTTGGTGAATATATCAGCAGTGTTGGCCCGAGTGGCCACGTAACGCAGACGAAGCTGACCACGCTGCTGCAACTCTCGAGCCAGGAAGTAACGCAGAGCAATGTGCTTCGTTCTGTGCTCCAGTCTGTACTCCTCACACAAGGCAATGGCAGCCTTGTTGTCAACGTACAGCACTGGAGGAGAATGAGGCCGCTCTCCCAAGTCTGTCAGCAGGTAGGTGAGCCAGCGTAACTCCTGTGCAGCCATGGCTGTGGCGTAGATCTCAGCCTCACAACTGGAGCTGAGAACTGAAGACGAACGTGTAGAACGCCAAGAAACTGAACCAAAGCCAAGGCTGAAGGTGTAGCCCTGTGACGACCACTGAGTAGCTTGGTCATCAACCCAAGAAGCGTCTGAGCGCCCAGTGAGAACAACTGAGCTCCTCCCTCCATGCACGAGCCCCATGCCTGATGTACTGCACAAGTAGTGTAGTACCCTCTTAGCAGCATCCCAGTGCACAAAGGCCAAGAGCCACGCAAGGTCGACCAGGATCCACGTAGCGAGCTAGGAGCCACGTAGCGAGCCAGAAGGCCAAGAGGGTACGCAAGGTCAGGACGAGTGAAATTCATCAGGTACATGAGGCAGCCCACTAGCTCTAGGTAAGGACCACTCGGCTCTACGAACTCGTCCGAAGGTGGAGCTGAGAGCGAGTGACCTGTAGCCAAAGGAGTCAGCTGTGCTGAGGACCAGGTGAAGCCAAAGCGCTGAAGGACCTGCCGCACCATGTGTGACTGAGTCAGTGTGATGGTGCAGCGTGCTCTGTCCCGGGTGATCTGCAAGCCAAGATAGCTGCGCAGTTCACCCATGTCTGTGCACGTGTGTCTCTTCTGCAACTCGGACTTCACCAGGGCGAGAGCCTCATTGTCAGCAGTGGCAAAGACCAAGTCGTCGACGTACACGAGGATGTAGAACGGCGGCAGCGAAGTGTTGGTGCGCAGAAACAGCGACGGGTCAGCAATAGAAGGCACGAACCCAAGAGCCGCAAGTGTAGTCCTCAGTGTGTCGTGCCACTCATGTGGCGCCTGGCAGAGACCGTAGACCGGCCGCCGGAGGCTCCACTGGGTACCAGGAGGAAACGACCCAATGAAGCCAGGTGTGAGGATCTAGGATCGAGCTTAGAAAAGAGAATTGTAATTGAATGATCACCTGGGTACAACACGAGGCCATATATAGGCTCGACACAAGGCTCCGTAACCAGGTGTTACGCGAAGGTTCCGCGGGTCGCGAAGCGTCCCGAATAGATCCTTCCCGAATTCGGTAGAAGGCAATTCGGTGGCAACCGAAAAGCCAGAATTCGGTGCACGCAACCTAGCTCGGTGCTATAACTATAATAAAATATAGGAAAGCACATAGCCTAGGAAATCAAGCAATTCATGCATGCATATAATTATCTTTTGCCAGAAATAGCATGATAAATTAAAGGCAAGCAAGCATAGCTGGCATAAGCCGTCGTACTCTCACACGTCCCCCCCTCAAAGCTGGGTGGCGTGAGATACACCCTGTTTGACAAGATAGTCCTTGAGAGCACGGCGTGCGTTGCCCATATCAGCTTTTGCAACCCAAGTGTCCTTAGTGGGGTCGTATCCCTTCCAGCGTATTAGGAACTCTAGGGCCTTGCCGCCGCGGCGCCAATGAGTGAGAACGCGCTCCACTTCGTACTCTGGTTCATCCTGTATGAGAAAAGGTGGTGGTGGCGGTAGCTGCCGTCCCTGGAACTGTTGGTTGGGGTCCTTGTAGGGCTTGAGTAGCTGGACATGGAAAGCATTGTGAAACTTCCATGTATCTGGTAAGCGCAAGCGGAATGTAACTGGTGTCACTTGTGCCTCAACGGGAAAAGGACCATAGAAGTGAGGCCAGAGTTTGGATGGGAGGTGAGACAGGTTCAAGTTGCGCGTGTCAAGAAGCACCTGATCTCCGACTGCTACTGAGTGATCACGTCGCTGACGATCGGCATACTGCTTTAGGGAGGTATCCATCGTGGTGAGTCGTCGCTGAGTCTTCTCCCATAGCTGCTGCATGGTGGTGACGAAGTCATGTGCAGCTTGGACGTGTGCCGCTGTGGTTGGCTGTTGTGGTGTGAGTGGTTCCCGTCCGTAACACAGGAAGAAAGGAGTTTTCCCTGTGGCCGCATGTGATGCGTTGTTGTAAGCAAACTCTAGGGTCAGTAACTGTATGTCCCAGTGGCTGACGTCGTCCTTGCAAGCTCTGCGTAGTAAATGTTCAACCACTTGATTGAGTCGCTCTGTCTGTCCGTCAGTCTGGGGGTGGTATGCTGAAGACATTGCAAGCTTTGTCCCCAACAGTCCCATGAGCTCCTTCCAGAACTTACTGGTGAATTTTGGGTCTTTGTCTGAGATGAGTGTAGCGGGGATGCCATGGATGGTGATGATGCGGTCGAAGAAGAGGCGAGCTGTTGCTTCAGCTGTAGCTGTGGCGTTGGTCGGTATGAATTGACCCATTTTGGAGAACTTATCGATTACTACGAGGATGGAATCGTGCCCCCATGAGGTCGAAGGAAGTCCTCTGATAAAGTCGAGGCTAACGACCTGCCATGGCTGCTCCGGTACGGGTAGAGGCTGAAGTAACCCTGCTTTTTTCTGCTTGCTGCTCTTCATCCGCTGGCACGTGTCGCATGAGGTGACGAACTACTGCATGTCTGCTGCCATCCCGGGCCAGTAGTAATACTTCGCGATCCCTGCTAACGTCTTGTTGCTCCCGAAATGTCCCGCGTAAGGTACGTCGTGAAACTCCTCCAATAGGATTTGCCGTAGCGGGGCGTAATTCGGTACCCAAATCTTTCTTGAACCCTTCCTTACAGCTAAGTCTTTCTCCCACTGTAACAACTTCTTGGTCTGTGCTGTAGCGATTTCTGCGTCCACGGAGTACCCATGTTGGAATAGACCCTTGAGCAGAGGGTTCATCCCGTCGAGCTGGATGCCTGCTACATGTCCGTGGCGGCTCAACGCGTCTGCCTTGTTGTGTAGCCCGGGCTTGTAGACGATGTAGTAGTGGAAGTGAGTTTCCAGGAAGTCCATCCACCGCACCTGTCGTCGTGAGAGCGTCGGCTTCGACTTCAGGTATTTGAGACTGCAATGGTCGGTATAGACTGTAGTCTTGGCTCCCTCTAGGTAACACCTCCATGCCTTGAAGGCTATGACTATCGCTAAGGCTTCCTTGTCATGGATGGGGTAGTTCAGTTCTACTCCGTGTAGCTTCTTACTGAGGTAGGCGATGGGCTGCAAACCGCGTCCGTGATCCTGCATCAATACTGCTCCGACTGCTTGGTCACTAGCGTCTGCTTCCACCACGTAGTCCTTGTCTGGATCCGGCAAGATGAGTACTGGCACTGTAGTCAGTGCTGTCTGTAGCTGTTCCATGGCTTGCTGATAAGGAGTATCCCATTTGAAGGGCGTATCCTTTTTCGGTAGGTCGGTCAGTGGCGCTGTTATCTTTGCGTACTGCGGCACGAACCTGTTGTAGTTGGTGAAGCCTAGGAACTGCTGCAACTCCTTCACGTTCTCCGGTACTTTCCACTTCTTGACGGCTTCGATCTTCCGCGGGTCCACGTGTACGCCCTCGGTACTCACCATGTGC